TTTTCATTGGCTTTCCGGAGTTTTATTAAAACTGGCATCTCTGATGGTGATGAATAGTAAGAACCTACAGCCAAAGATAATCTATCCAGCAAAGCTATCACTCAGAATCGAAGGCCAGATAAAGAGCTTCACTAATAAAAAATTAAAAAATTAAAAAATTAAAAAAAGCTAGCCGGGACTGGTTTGGCTCAATGGATAGGGCGTCGGCTTGGGGACTGAAGGGTCCCGGGTTCGATTCCGGTCAAGGGCATGTACCTTGGTTGCCGGCAGATCCCCAGTAGGGGGTGTGCAAGAGGCAGCTGATTGATGACTCTCATCGATGTTTCTAACTCTCTATCTCTCTCCCTTTCTCTCTGTACAAAATCAATAAAATATATTTAAAAAAAAAAAAAAAAAAAAGCTAAAGGAGTTCATCAACACCAAACAAGAATTATATGGATTGCTGAAGGGGGTTCTTTCAGAAGAGAAAGTAAATAAAGATAAAAATTATGAACAACAAATACGTAACTATCAACAAGTGAATCTAAAAACCAAGGAAATTAAAAAAAAATCTGATGAACAATATTAACTGGTGAATATAATAGAATCAGAGGTATGGAAAGGGAGTGAACTGACGATTCTTGGGGAAAAGGGGAGAGGGGGATGTGGGAAGAGACTGAACATAAACTGTGCACCTATGGATGAGGACAATGGGGGGTGGGGAAAGAGCAGAGGGTGGGGTGGGAACCTGGTGGAGGAGAGCAATGATGGGCGGGGGGGGGGAAGGAACATTTGTAATAATATGAATAATAAAAATTTATTTAAAAATAAAATAAAAATAAAAAATCAATTAAAAAAAAACAACTGGCATCTCTGGCCCCGCCCTGTGGCTCAGGGGCTTGGAGTGTCCTCCCGCACCACGGGGCAGTGTGGTCCCGGTCTGGGCACCTGTGGGGGGGGGGAAGGGGGGAGGAGAGGAGATTAGGGAACTGGCAGCCTCTCGGTATTTCCCCCCCTCTTCTCTCCCTCCCTCCCTTCCTCTCTCTAAAATCAATTTTAAAAATAATAATTTTTTAAAAAGAACTGAAGTTTTAAAAACATCGGTGTGTTTCTGAGGGGCATTTCCTGCATCTCTCACACGCCACAGGAAAGGGCTGGCACAATGCCCGAGCTTTTCCTCGCTCGCGTTTGCTGGTCTTGTCCGTGCTTCCAGGCTGCCCTGACCAGACAGTGGCTCCCTCGCCTTCCTTCCTCGGGGCTGCAGTGGGCATAAGGGAGGGGCCATGGGCCACAAATGAACATAACAGTCTATGCTCCGAGTTGTAGGTGGGACGATGTGGCCTGTGGTGGCAGCAACGGCGGTTACGACGAGAGGCTGACAAAGTCTCCCAGCTAAAATCAGGCAATGATGGTCCCCCCGGTTCACAGGCGAAATTCATGTATAATAGATAGAAGTTGTCGCTTTTAAAGTTTTTGCCTTCATAAATTTTTCTTAAACTCTGGGGCCTACACCATCTGTCTGTAATCAAATCCGGAATGACATAATGTACAGTAATAACAGCCAACACTTTCGCTGTCCTTCCCAGGCACTGTGTCAAGCCCTTCATATATATTAACACATTCAGTCCTCACAACAACCCTACAGGAATACTATTATCATCCCCATTTCACAGATCAGGAAACCGAGGCACTGAAAGGGCAAGTAACTAGCCCAGAGTTCACAGCTGGGAAGTGTGCCTCAGGAGCATCCGCCCAGGAGGCGGGCTCGAGCCCCCTCACTCCCCACCTCACTGACAGATAGACCCGGGCAGAGCCAGGACCATGGGCTGGTTCGGACCCTCGCCCGGGCAGAAAGTCCCGGGTGCCCAGCAAGGGCCAAAACTGGGAAAACAAGGACCTCGCCCCAGGCGACCTGCCTCCCCTAGCTTCTCACTGGACATGCGGGTTGACCCCTGACCTTTCCTCCCTGAGATAACATCGAGGCCTCAGTTGTGTTTCAGCTCCAGGCCCAGAAAAGCAGCGAAACCAGACAAGTGATGCCAGGCTGCCTGGGCACCAGCTGCACTAATGACCCTGCCCTGGCACCGGCCAATCAGTGGAGACCCTGACCCTGACAGAGCACAGCTGGGAAGCTGATGGATATTCTAACAAGGCCCTCCCCCAAGATTTCCAGCTGCAGGAAAGCAATAAACACGCTCAGGACAAAGGACCAGCGCCTGCCCTCCCTCCCAGGAGCAGCCTGTGCCATTCCCCCCCAGACACGATTCCCCAACCTCTCAGGGGCCAATGAGACCTGCAACCAGGGAGCAATGGGCAGTGGCAGTTCGTCCCGGGCTGAACCCTGAACCTGTCTTCAAGGCCTCCTTTCTCTGACCTCCCAGGGAGCCACCCAGCCTGGGCGTCCTGCTTCTCCCAGGCCCTTCCTTGTTTCACGGCCCTCAGTGTGCTTCTGCTCCACCCTGGGCCCAGCGCCCTTCGCTCTGTGTGCGTGGCCCTGTCTCCATTCCCCGTCCCTTTTCCGTAAATGAACTCAATTCTCCGTCGCTCGCCATCTGAGACGGCCATGTAGCCCGCGCACCACCGGCTCGAACCTTTCACTCGCCACACTCAATCTAACACTGAGTCATATTTAATCTGGCAAGTGTTCATTCTATCAGTATTCAGAGCTCCGTAAGCCGCAGTCAGGGTCCCAGGGTCCCTGGAGCTGGAGCTGGAGCCTGGACTGGGGGTCAGAAACGCTGCGTGTGAACCGAGCTCCACCCCGCACGGGGCCCGTCAGGCAGTCGCTGCCCTCTCTGAGTCGCTGCCCTCTCTGAGTGCCCCCCGAGAAAGCCCAGAGCCTGAGCCGGTGCCGAGCCGGTGCCTGATGTGCTCTCACCCCCGTGTCTCGCTGGTAGCGTTGGTGACCCGTTTGGCAAACACCAGGTGGAGACAGAGCTGGTTTGCATCACAGCTTCTAGATCAATGCTCTTTTCTTCCCCCTTTCTCTCCAGAGCAGAGAACCCCCTCCACGGAGGCCAGATGTGATCACCCAGATGCAATGGTGCGATAATCCACAGAACCTCAGAGCAGCTGGAGGCAGCAGGAGAGGGGGCCGCGGGGTAGCTGGGCCAGACTGACAGGCCTGTGACAGGGGAGAGTCAGGTTCGCTCAGTAGGCCACGGGGAATCACTAGTCACAGCGTCCAAAATGCTCAGGAGTTACTGTTGGGACGGAGCCTGTGGCTCCTGAAGGAGGAAGGGGAGGCTGTGGCCGTGCTGGGCAGGAAGCAGCAGCAGGAGGCGGGTGAGGTGGCGCCTCCTGAGCTGAGCAAAGGGCCCTGCACCACAGGCTGGGGCTGGGCCGCCCGCTGGCCCCTCAGCCAAGCCTGACCCGCCCCCTTCGCCCACCAGCCTGTCCTCTGCTCCCGCCCACTCTGTCCTCGCCCCCTGACTTGTCCGCTCCCCCAGGTGTTCCCGGGGCTCAGTGACCCAGCGCCCGCCCTGGGGTGAGAGGTCAGGGGTCACACTGTGGAGGAGCGGTGACAGGAAGCTCGCTCAGGCCCTCCCCGGGGAGGGAGGGGGACAGAATGGGAAAAGGCGCAGGTGACACCACAGAGTAAGTGCATAGGACGCCAATGACGAGGCAATGGCCCGGGTGTTGGGTGCGAGGACAGTGAGGCTCCCAGTCTGAGCAGGAGGGGTGAGGCTCGAGCAGCGACGGAGGCTCAGTGCCGCGTAGCCCTGTCTCCATTCCCCATCCCTTTTCCCTAAATACATTCAGGGAGACGGCGGGTGGAGGCGGACATACGGGGCTTCCAAAAATGCAGCAGAGGCTGAGGAGGCTGAGGAGGCTGGGAGGCTGAGGAGGCTGAAAGGTTGAAGAGGCTGAGGAGGGTGAGGAGGCTGAGGAGGCTGAGGAGGCTGGGGAGGCTGGGGAGGCTGAAAGGCTGAGGAGGCTGAGGAGGGTGAGGAGGCTGGGGAGGCTGGGGAGGCTGGGGAGGGTGAGGAGGCTGAGGAGGGTGAGGAGGCTGGGGAGGCTGGGGAGGCTGAAAGGCTGAGGAGGCTGAGGAGGCTGAGGAGGCTGGGGAGGCTGAGGAGGCTGAGGAGGCTGGGGAGGCTGGGGAGGCTGAGGAGGCTGGGGAGGCTGAAAGGCTGGGGAGGCTGGGGAGGCTGAGGAGGCTGAGGAGGCTGAGGAGGGTGAGGAGGCTGGGGAGGCTGAGGAGGCTGGGAGGCTGGGGAGGCTGAGGAGGCTGGGGAGGCTGGGAGGCTGAGGGAGCAGCAGCCACCCGCCACAGGACTGCCTCTGCCAGGCCACACGGACGCACAGCCCCGGGCGCTGGCCTCGCTCTGGGAGAACACAGCCAGGCTGGCCCCGGCGGCCACAGCGGCAGGTGGTGGGACGGGGCTTGACCCAGGCTCTGCTCTGAGGTCCTGCCCATGCCAAGCGCTGTCTGGGGCCAGCAGAGCTGCTGACAGGACCCCAGGGCCTGGCGGGCCGGCGCTGAAGCCACCGGGCGGGGCGGGGGGGGCACACGGGTGTCCCCCGGTCCCCCCACCCTGTGCTGTGATGGCCGCCGGGGGAGAGGCGCTGAGAGCTCAGGGGACCGGCCAAGGGCAAACAGCACCTTCGGACCCAGAACCGGCCCCACCCCCACCCCCTCTCCTGCCCCTCAGGCGGCCGGGAGGGCAGGCCTGGGCCTCTCAGCGGCAGCGGGGCAGAGGCCAGGGCTCGCCCTCCCTGCGCCCTCCGCCGTGGAGCGGCCCTGAGGCCCCCCATGTCCGGGCTGAACCCCCTCTTCCCCAGGCTCCCTGAGGCCAGCAGAGCCAGAAGGCCGAGAGGAGCCGCTGGCGGCAGAAGGGCCGCTCGGGGTCAGAGGGTTGGAGGGATCGGGGTTAAGACCCTCTGGGACCAGAGGAGCCGGTGTCGGGCGGGGGTGGCGATCAGGGACTGAGGCGAGTTGGGGGGCGGGGAGAGGGGCCGAGTGGGGGGGGGTGGTGGCGGCGCAGGGACGCAGGGGAGAGGTCTGGGGGCTCCATTACCTTCGGGATCCATGGCAGCTTGGAGCCGCTCAGCTGCTCAGAGCCAAAGTCCAGAGAGCTCTGAGGCTGGGGGCGGGGCTGCAGGGAGGGGGGCGGAGGAGGCCCCATCAGTCCTGACCGTCCCCTGGGGCTCCCCTGGGGCTCCCCTGGGGCTCCCCTGGGGCTCCTCTGGGCCTCCCTCTGGGCCTCCCTCTGGGCCTCCCTCTGGGCCTCCCTCTGGGCCTCCCTCCCGGCCTCCCTCGCGGCCTCCCTCGCGGCCTCCCTCGCAGCCTCCCTCGCGCCCTCCCTCGCAGCTTCCCTCGCAGCCTCCCTCCGGCGGCGTGGTATCTGCTGTCAGACCGGGAGCGCTCCCTGTGCAGAGCTCAGCAGTCTCCTCCGCCAGAGGCCTTGCTATCTTGCCCTGACGAGCACTCTGAGATTGTCTCCTCTTCATTCTGTGCAGTAAATGCTGAGTTAATACAGTTATTCAGCGGTGCCATTATGTAAATTGCTACCTACAATCAGATGCTCTTGGCCCGGCCAGTGTAGCTCAGAGGCTGAGCGTCCATCTCCGAACCTGGAGGTCAGACTTGGATTCCCAGTCAGGCTGCAGGCCTGGGTTGCAGGCTCCGTCTCCAGTGGGGGCCGCACAGTAGGCAGATAATGGATTATTCTCATCACTGGACTCAAGAGTTGCAGATTGGATTCTGGTGAAGGGCACGTGCCTTAGTTGCAGGCTCGATCCTGGATCCCTAGCCGCCCTGGTTGGGGCAGGCACGGAGGCAACCAGTCAACATGTCTCTCTTTGTAGGTGATGCTTCTCTCTCTCACTTCTCTCCCTCTCTTCCACTCTCTCTAAAAATCAAAGGGAAACTGTCCTTAGGTGGGGATTAACAAAAAAATACTTCAAAAAATAGATGATAAAATGAGATGCCTCTTGCCCTGACTGGGTAACGCTGCTGATTGGAGTGTCGTCCTGCTATGTCTCGGTTATGGGTTCCATCTCAGGACAGAGCACATACAAGAACCAACCAGTGAGCCCTAGCCAGTTTGGCTCAATGGATAGAGCACCGGCCTGTGGATTTGATTTTGGTCAAAGGCACATGCCTGGGTTGTGGGTTGACCCCTCTAGGAGGCACACAGGAGGCAGCCAATCAATGATTCTCATTATTGATGTTTCTATCTCTCCGTCTCCCTTCCTCTCAAATCAATAAAAATATACTTTTAAAAAAATCAACCAATGAATGCATAAATTAGTGGAACAACAAATCAATATTTCTCTCTCTCAATTTCTAAAAATAAAAATAAATCAGATGACTCTTAAACCCATATCTCTCACTCTGACATCCTTCCAAGATCCAGGTCTCTGCTTTTAACCATCTCTAAACATCCCCCGCCTAACACTTCTAAAAATAAACTCAGGATGCTTTCCCCCAAAACGCTCACCGCTCTGCATCTCCACATAACAATGTCAGCATCTGAATCTCCCAAGATAGAATCCTTGAAGTCTAACCTCATTCTTCCCCCATCACCTCAGAGCCAATGAGCCCTAAACTGCATTCTCCGGATATATTTCTGACCTGAACTCTACCTTCCCGTTGGGCCTCACTCACGCTATATTTAACTTGCCAGGTCACTCAAAAGATGATCTGCTCTTGCCACGTGTTTACTTAAAAACCATCATTTGGGCCGAAACCAGTTTGGCTCAGTGGATAGAGCGTCCCAGGATCGATTCCGGTCAAGGGCATGTACCTTGGTTGCGGGCACATCCCCAGTAGGGGGTGTGCAGGAGGCAGCTGATCAATGATTCTCTCTCATCAATGTTTCTAATTCTCTATCCCTCTCTCTTCCTCTCTGTAAAAAAATCAATAATATATATATAAATATAAAATCTTTGGCCCTGGCTGGTTTGGCTCAGTGGATAGAGCGTCAGCCCTTGGACTGAGGGGTTGCAGGTTCAATTCTGGTCAAAGGCACGCTCCTAGGTTGCCAGCTGAATTCCCAGCCCTACTCCAGGCTTGTGCAGGAGGCAATCAAGCAATGTGTCTCTCTCACATCGATGTTTCTCTTTGTCTTCCCGCTCCCTCTCACTCTTTCTAAAATATCAATGGGAAAAGATCCTTGGTGAGGATCACCAACAACAAAATGAATAAATAAAATAAAAGCAGTGTTTAAAAAAAAGAAAAACAAACCCGACCACCATCATTGGTTCATTTATTATTTCATGTATCCCTCCTTCAGCAAACACATACGGCTAGTCACTGTGCTCAGGCCCTGACTGGAGCCTCGAAGATGACGCTTGGACTTGAGGGCGGCTCTGCAATGAGGCAGGAGGCCTCCCTGACGACAGCCCCTGCCTGTGCTGTGAGAGCGGAGGAGGAAAGCCGTCTGTCTGGGGGGAGGCGGCAAGCGTGCCTTTAAAAGGCAGTGGCATTAAAATGTAAAAAAGGCGGTGACGTTTGAGCTGAATCTTGACGGTTGAGTTTGGCAGGAAGTCAAGAAGTGTGTGTGTGTGTGTGTGTGTGTGTGAGTGTGTGTGTGTGTGAGTGTGTGTGTGTGTGAGTGTGTGAGAGAGTGTGTGTGTGAGTGTGTGAGAGAGTGTGTGTGTGTGAGTGTGTGTGAGAGTGTGTGTGTGTGAGTGTGTGTGAGAGTGTGTGTGTGTGAGTGTGTGAGAGAGTGTGTGTGTGTGAGTGTGTGTGAGAGTGTGTGTGTGTGAGTGTGTGAGAGAGTGTGTGTGTGTGAGTGTGTGTGAGAGTGTGTGAGTGTGTGAGTGTGTGAGAGAGTGTGTGTGTGTGAGTGTGTGTGAGAGTGTGTGTGTATGTGTGTGTAGGTGTGTGTATGTGTGTGTGAGTGTGTGTGTATGTGTGTGTATGTGTGTGTGTGAGTGTGTGTGAGAGTGTGTGTGAGTGTGTGTGAGAGTGTGTGTGTGTATGTGTGTGTATGTGTGTGTATGTGTGTGTGTGTGTGTGAGTGTGTGTGTGTGAGAGTGTGTGTGTGTGTGTGTGTGTATGTGTGTGAGTGTGTGTGTGTGTGTGTGTGTTCTCTCCCTTTCTTTCCGCTCTCTCTCAAAATTGTTTTTAATTAATTACAAAAGAGAGTGTGTGTTGTGGGCAAGCTGGGGGGGCTGGCTCCCGGCAGAGCGTGCACAGGTGGCCGGGTCCAGCCGGCCGTCCTGCTGAGCAGGCGGTGGGTTGTCTCCAAACGCCTCTCCTTCTGTTGTCTCCTGTCCGACCGCAAACCTGTGCTGAGCAGGACATGCCAGGGCAGGCTCTCCGCCAGTCCCCTCTGAGAGTGAGAAAGCGCTGGAGGGACCATTGGCAGGGCCACTTCTGCTGGAGCCCGGCCAGCCCATCCTCCACAAGCTGCCCGCCACGGCCGAGGGTCAGAAATGGGGTCAGAGGAAGATTAGGTCACTGTCCTTTTCAGAGAGAAAACGTCCGTAAAACCACCCACTGAGGCCCTTTTCTGTGTTTCCTAAGTTTCCCAAGGCCTCCCCCACCCAGACCCTCTTCCATCTGGAAGTTCCACTTTGGATGACAAAGCTTTATTTGTACTCTGGTCTTAATGTGCACTTTTAACACTAAAATAGAAACAGATATTTTAAAATGTAAGGTGAAGAATAATACCCTGTATACGATTGTGTCTATGGGAACCCTGTTACATAAGAAACTAGAATGTGCTGGTAATTGACTTTCGCAAGAGAGGAAAAGGTTATTTTTCTGTCTGGACAAAAATATTTTCCACTTCCGGGCCAGGGCATGTGCCCAGGTTGTAGGCTCGATCCTCCGTGGGGGGCGTGCAGGAAGCTGCCAATCCATGATTGATGATTCAATCTCTCTCTCCCTCTCCCTTCCTCTCTGAAATCAATAAAAACATATATATTTTTTTAAATCAACATTCTGTTAGAATTAATTAGCTACACAGAATTTGTAATAAAAGATATTGTATATTTTAAAAATATGTATTTTCTACTCTCTCTCCCTCCCTCTTCCTCCCTCCCTCCCTTACCTGCCCTCCTTCTTTCCCCACAGACCTGCATCCCCTGGACTCTCAAGGACCCCACAAGCCTTGCAACCAAGGCAGCAATGGGCAGCGGCAGCTCCTCCCAGGCAACCCCCTGAGCCTGTTCCCAAGGCCCCTTTCCTCTGATTTCTTTTTTTTTTTTTTAATAATATATTTTATTGATTTTTACAGAAAGGAAGGGAGAGGGAGAGAGAGAGAAATATCAATCATCTGCCTCCTGCACAGCTCCCACTGGGGATGTGCCCGCAACCAAGGCACATGCCCTTGACTGGAATCGAACCTGGGACCCTTGAGTCTGCAGGCCGTCGCTCTATCCACTGAGCCAAACCGGCCAGGGCTCCTCTGATTTCTTAATGAGTCAAAGCAGGCCAACCTAGGCTCATTTCTCCAGCTCTTTCTTGTTTCACTGTTCCCAGCTCTAATAAACATCCTCTACAATTAATATACATATATTCAACATTTTTAAACATTGATTTCAGAGAGGAAAGAAGAGAGAGAGAAACATCAATGATGAGAGAAAATCATCCATTGGCTGCCCCCTGCACCCCCACTACTGGGGACTGAGCCTGTGATCTCCTGGTTCACAGGTCTATGCTCAGCCACTGAGCCACGCCAGCTGGTGTGACTATTTTCAACCTTTTTAATTACCCTCCCTCCACAAGAAAAGCACGTGGCATGTTCCAGGAGCTGGCTGCAAGGAGTTTGAGAGGCGGGAGAGCTAGAGGGCTGACCAGGCCGCAGCGGGCAGAGGAAAAGCGAGGCCAGGTCCTGGCGGGGTCTTTACTGCCAGCCGAGGAAGGGGGGCTTATTCTGACGGCCTTGGGGAGCTCAGGGTAACCTGGACGGAGTAGCCTTTAATTATTAATATTTTAAAATTGATCTTAAAGAGAGAGGCAGGGAGAGAGAAAATGAGAGAGAGAGAGAGAGAGAGAGAGAGAGAGAGAGAGAGAAACGTCAATGTGAGAGCAAAACATGGATCCGCTGCCTCCTGCAGGCCCCTTACCAGGGTTCGAGCCTGGACCCCGAGCGTGCACCCTCACCGGGAATTCAACTGGCAACCTTTTGGTGACACCCAACCTACTGAGCCACACCAGGCTGGGCAGAGTGACTTTCTAGAAGTGTCACTGGGATTGCGGGGAGCAGAGGGTGGAAGGGATTGGGGTCGGGGAACCACAGGGCAGTCTGAGCAGAACCAGGTCAGGGCTTGCCGGACTGGGCACAGTGGCGAGGACAGGAGAGGCCAGGCTGACGGGTGCTCTGAGTTTTGCTGAACGGCAGCAGACCCGCTTGCTGTCCACACGCAGAGCGTTCCATCCCATGAGACTCCCCGGAGCTGAAACGGGCTCATGCAAACACGCCATTACCATCCACGGCAAAACTGGGGGGCATTCCCAGGACCGAGAAATGACCTGCCAAACCAAAGCAAATCCTACACAAAACCCAAAATAACACCGACATATGGTAAAAGCACTGACACGCTCACAGCTCAGGGTGCGCTGCCCCTTTAACCACCGGCCACAAAGCAAACACTGACCACTGTTTTCTCCTTTCGCCTTTTTAAGTTTTTATTTTAAAACATTTATTGTTGACAATATTATAGCTATTCCCCATCCACTCCCCTTTCCCCCCCACCCCCACCCGAGCCTTCCCCACACTGTGCTCGTTACCATGAGCTGTGCACGCCACATGTAAGTTCTTTGGTTAATCTCTTTTTAAAAAAATATATTTTATTGATTTTTTACAGAGAGGAAGGGAGAGAGAGAGCGAGCTAGAAACATCGATGAGAGAGAAACATCCATCAGCTGCCTCCTGCACACCCCCTACCGGGGATGTGCCCGAAAGCAAGGTACATGCCCATGACCGGAATCGAACCTGGGACCCTTGAGTCTGCAGGCCGACGCTCTATCTACTGAGCCAGACTGGTTGGGGCATTTGCTCCCTGCTGAGCTCTGTCAGTCCGTTCCAGGCATCCGTGCCTCTGGACTTACTCTGCGTGTATTCCACGCGTAAGAGAGATCGTGTGATATTTGTCTTTCTCTAACTGGCTTAGCATCATGCTCTCCAGTCGGATGAAAGTGAGGATCTTCTGTGGATTTCTTTCATTGAACGACAACAGGCACTAAGGAAGGTCTTCTGTAAACGGCGAACGAACATGAACCGACCATGTGTGTGGCACCTGCTGAGGCCCGGACCGAGGCGTGAAGCCGGCTCCGTTTAACGCCCGCGGGCTGCCGGGCCCGCACGGACACCCGGCCCTTCAGCCCTGCTCAGCGTGGCTCCCACCGGCTCCGGCCTCCCCCCCCCCCCCGGCCCCCCGCAAACCACACCTCCCTCCCAGCCAACACCTACGAGCTCATCTGTTTTGTAATTGTAAAGTGATTGGTAAATATTGCATAAAATTTGGAAATATAGAAAATATAAACAAAATAAAAATCACCTATAAACCTATATAGGTAACCGCGGTACTATATATTCCCACTTGACATTATATTGTAGACATTTTTCAAAATCATGACATAGTTTTTTTTAAACATTTTTACCAACTATAAAAAGTATAATAAGCTATTTAGAGGTGTGTTTTTTTTCCTGTTTTGTCAGATTATTTTATTTAAAGGATTCCACGTGTGAGATCAAATGGCATTTATCTTTATCTGGATCCCTCGTGACATTTATTTTATTCATTTATTATTATTTTTTTATTTTTTAAAATATATTTTATTGAATTTTACAGAGAGGAAGGGAGAAGAATAGAGAGTTAGAAACATCGATGAGAGAGAATCATCGATCAGCTGCCTCTTGCACACCCCCTATGGGGATGTGCCCACAACCAAGGTACATGCCCTTGACTGGAATCGAACCTGGGACCTATCAGTCCGCAGGCAGACGCTCTATCTTCTGAGCCACACCAGTTTGGGCATTATTATTATTTTTTTAATCCCCACCTAGGATATTTTTCCATTGATTTTTTTTGAAAGAGTGGAAACATGAGGAAAAGACAGAGAGAAACATCAATGTGAGAGAAACATCCATTGGTTGCCTCCTTCATGCACCCGGACAGGAGCCTGCAATGAGGTACATGTCCTTGACCGGAATCGAACCCAGGATTCTTCAGTTCGCAGGCTGATGCTCTATCCACTGAACCAGATGGCTAGGGCCCTCATGACATGTAGATACTCAGGTTTCACTAACACTATCCCACGTTCCAGTTAAGATGCTGAAGGTGTGGACATAAGTGTCCAAACTAGCCGTGAGCTCTCTGAGGCAGCCGGGAAGCGTGGCCAGGCGCTGACCCCGGCTCACGGGGACGGGTTCTGTTGGGGTGAAGATGTTGGAGGCCACGGACTGGCACCAGGTGTCTGACCGGCGGGTTCAGACCAAACCTGGGTGGCAGCGACCTTCATACTTGGGTTGTGGCTGCGAAAGAATTCAGAGTCCAGACCCAACTGTGAGAGCACACTTGCTGGGTGAGTCGCCGAGACAGGAAAAGCAGTTCCTGGAAGCAAAGGGCTGAGGGCAGGAGCTCTGGAGGTGAAGGAGGCCCCCTGGAGCTTGGGAACCAGGAAGCTAATCCAGTGCTGAGCGAGCGGGGTAGCGGGTGGCCCCTGAGTTCAGGGACAAGGTTCTCTGAAATGGGGACTCGGTTTGACAATCTCAGACAGCAGTTGGCACCCCCACGAGCTTTAGGAACTCCCTTCCGCTGCTCGGGGGCCACCGTCAGGCCCAGCAGAGCTGTGAGAGGCAGGAGAAGGTGCCCAGACACGGCCTCGCGGGCGCCCGGTCTGCAGGTGAAGGCCGGGTTTCCGCCCCGGCCGCTCAGCGCCCTCTCCCCCACCTCATGACCTGCCCACCAGGGCCCTTTCCCCCTCTGTCTCCTGGTGCCCCCGTTAGCCCCATGACAGTCACACTCACTCCCAGAGTCCCCTCCGCCCTCATTTTGTAGGTCAATCTGTCTGCTCTAGGTTGCTGCACCGGTGACTCAACAACTTCCTCTTTGCAAATTTCCTCTTTGCCCTGGGGAAATACCAACCGCCTGTGGCCCACGTGGCTGCCTGGGCGCTGGCCTGGGCTGCTCTCAGGGACAGCCAGTTGGGTCCTGTCCCCTCCTGCCTTTCCCAGAGCCACAGGGGAAGCCCCTGGTGCTGCCAGCCGTCGCAGATCCTCTTTAGCTGGCTCTCACGCACGCCCCTCGGAGAAGGGAAGGAACTTGCGACAGACAAACACATTGCACACGGAACAGCAGATCGTCACCAAGACCTGTGCCCAGGGCTCCTGTCCCCTGCCTCGTGTGCAGGGCAGGCTGTGTGGGGGGCCGAGCTGGAGGACCAGTCTTCCTGTCAGGCCTGGCATTCTCTCATTGGGCCTTTCTCTACCTCCGCCCCGTCTGCTCAGAGAGGAGGGCACAGATGTCCTCAGCAGCTGGCATGCCCTCGGCTTCCGAAACCCTTCCCGCCTCTCCCTCACGTCCTCTGCACGCACTACCACCTTCACCAGCTGCCCAGCCCTCGCCTCCTGCTCACAGACCACACCCACGCGTGGGCCCACACAGGCTGCCGCTCCCAGGACTCCTCTCACCTCTGCCCTCGGGGGAGGAGCAGCTGAAGTCTTTGGTGAGGGAGGGAGTGGAGGCTGGAGCCAGGGGCCAGCCTGGAGGTCAGGTGTGCCCCAGCACACCCCGGGGCACAGCTCGGTGGCACCGCTCCCGCACTGGGCCCGAGTTAAAGGAGTTCATGGGTCGGCCCGGTGGCTGTCCTTTATGTACTCACAGAGCGATCCTGGACGGAAGCTGTTGGCTTGCCAGAGGTGGAGGAAACCTGGCGTTATGGAGACGCTGCATCTGGTTTCAAAGACCAGACAGGTGGTGGGGAGAAGCAGGCTGGTGAGGAAGTTTCATTCATTCAGTCTTGGAGCTTCAGTGGGCGCAGGCCCTGCCTCTGTGCTGGGCTGGGGCGCTGGGTGGAGGTGGAGGTGCTGGCGCTGGGTGCGGAGGCTGCAAAGTCCAGGGTTGAGAAGCAAGATGAGGGGTCAGAGTGGAGATGCTGGGTGAGAACACAGAGTGAGGATGAGGTTGGAGGTGAGGATGAGGTTGGAGGTGAGGACTGGAGGGTGCCGAAAGCTGGGGCTGATTCTGACCTCCAGACACGTAACTCACAGGGCCTCAGCACCTCCTGCTTCTGGCCCGCCCGCGGCGGGGGCCTCCTCAGCCCCGTCCTCACTGCCCACCAGCGGCTCCTCCTCGCCCGTCAGGCCGGCGCCCGGCTCAGCCTTCAGCTCCTCCAGCGCCAAGGAGCCCTGGCGAGACTTCCGTCTACCGAAGAAGGTGGTGAGCGTGGGCCGCCGGCCAGAGCCAGAGCCAGAGCCCGCCCCCTCGGGGAGCCCAGCGCCCTTGTCACCGCCAGACACGCCTGCGGCCGCCGTTACCACCGCCTCTTCGTCGGACACTCGGGCCGGCCCAGCCCAGGCGTCGACCACCCCGTTGTGCTTCCCGCCCCTGTTCAGCGTCAGCGCCCCGGTCCTGCGCTTCTGCCGCCGGCGCCACAGCAGCACCAGCGCCAGGAGGACGATGACCGCCAGCAGGGCCACCAGCACGGCCATCATCGTCAGGGTGCGCGTTGTCTTCTGGTCTGAACTCTGGGCAGGCCCGCCACCTCTGTTTGTGGACACCGCTGGGGTAGACATGAATATTTTTACCCTAGAGATGGGCGAGCCACTGGTCTGGGGAGTCCCCAGAGAGCTGGTTGTCATGGTGATAGGGGGTCCACTGGTCTGGGGAGTCCCCAGAGAGCTGGTTGTCATGGTGACAGGGGGTCCACTGGTCTGGGGAGTCCCCAGAGAGCTGGTTGCCATGGTGACAGGGGGTCCACTGGTCCCATTGGAGGTCCCCAGAGAGCTGGTTGCCACGGTGACAGGGGGTCCACTGGTCCCATTGGAGGTCTCCAGAGAGCTAGTTGTCATGGTGACAGGAGATTCACTCGTCAACATCCCACTGGAGGTCTCTAGAGAGCTAGTTGCCATGGTGACAGGGAGTCCCCTTGTCCCAGTGGAGGTCTCCAGAGAGCTAGTTGCCATGGTTTCACCAGCAGTAGTGTCAAGTCCCAGAGTAGTCATTGCTGGGACAGCGGGATCACTGGTTGCATCAGAGATTTCCTGGGACATTGATAACTTCCTGGTGGGAGCTTCTTGGGTGATTACTGCATTGGCCATAAGGCTAACGCTGGCAGCGACGGAAGTCTCAGGAGAGGGCACTTCGCCTGGAGCTGAGGAAGGCAGGGAGATCTGGGGTCCAGTACGGCCATGTGCCTCAGGGACCCTTGTTATTGCATCATCGGAGGCCACTGAGTTAAGGTTTGAGGCCTCAGAGATGGTTGAGGCCGAAGAAAAAGGGGGTTGTGTGAGTGTAAGAACCTCCGGAGCCCCTGTGTTCACCGTCTGGGCCCACACACCCCCAAGGAAGAGGAGAAGCAGGGTCGATTCCATGACAACAGACATGAGCAGGACGGGACCTGAGGGTGGAAGGTTGGAGAAAGGGAACACGTAAGAGGCTGGAGGTAGGACCCGGCCCGCCCTTCCTCCTGCCGACCTCCCTGCCAACTGCCAGGCCTAGCCCGTGGTTAAAGGCTGCTGCCGCCCTTCCCTTTACTGCTACCAGCAACAAGGGAGCAGGTGCTGGAGCTCCTCCATCGCTCTGTCCCCAGCCCCCTCCGGCCACAGCAGCTTGCAACCAGCGACGGCCTCCCTCCTGGCCTTCCCCCCGGAGACTCTTCAGCCCCAGTGGCCCCTGATCCTCTTTCCCCAGAGGACATTTGTCAGGTCTTTTCGAGCCGTTGGTGCATTCCTGGGTCTGATGGGACCCCCGCCCACCAAGCCACACCTTTTACCAGCGCGGCGCTCGATAAAGGCCCAGGCCTGGGCCAGGCTGCTCCAACTCCTCCTGAAGCTGGGGTAGGACTGGGCGCACAGGGGCCCCAAGGGGAAAGGAAGTGGCCCTGGCTCCACCCACCCCACCCCAGCATCCTGCCCCACCCGCCCTGCTCCCGCCACTGCCTGAGAGCCGCACCGCTTGCTCTTTCCGGGGTCTGAGGCGGTGCAGGGGCTCCGGGGTCTTAGCTGATGTGGGACAGGGAACCTGGGGTCTGGAGTTCCCTGTCTTCGCAGGGGAAATGGGGCGGCAGAGGTTAAGCTGGGGTGAGGAAGGGGGTCAGGCCCCGGGTGATGGGAACCTGCATTTAAGATCTCGGGGTGCAGGGAAGGAAATGGGAGGGGAGGGTGGTTTCCTTTGCATTTGTGGTCCCAAGCTGTTGGGCCAGAATCCAGGAAGTCCCAGGGGCAAGAGGAAGCCCCTGATTCTGCTGGGGGCAAAGAGAGCCTTTGCCGGCTGCGGGGTCCGTGGTGAGCTCTCCACGCTTTTCAGGAAGCCGGAGGCGTCGCTACGTGGCCCGTGTGACGGCTTACCTGACGCCCGGCAGCGGCTGGCAGCGCACAGGCTGTGGCCTCACTCCGGCAGACGCCCATCCAGCGTGATCTCCCTGGAAAGGACAGTCTGGGAAGAGCTGCTGAGGTTCCAACCAAGTCTCTGAGGGCAGGTCTGAGCAGGTTTTTTTATTTCCTTCTTTGGATGGTTGCTGTTTTCTGACTTCCCCCTACCTTGTAAGCTTTGGCTTTAAAAAAAAAAAACAACAACAACATTTTATTGGTTTTTCTACAAAGAGGAAGGGAGAGGATAGAGAGTTAGAAACATCAATGAGAGAGAAACATTGATCAGCTGCCTCCTGCACACCCTATTGAGGATGTGCCCACAACCAAGGTACATGCCCTTGACCTGAATCGAACCTGGGACCCTTGAGTCCGCAGGCCGACGCTCTATCCACTGAGCCAAACCGGTTAGAGTGTAAGCCTTGATTTTTGGTATGTGTTGGTTTTGTGTGTGTTTTTTGCCTTCTTTCTGAAAACATAAACTCTGATTTTTATGTTGTAAAAGCAATGGATGCACATAGCAATGGAAGAGGCTAAGGTCAGACTGGGCCCTGCCCCACTCGCAGGCGAAAGAGCGAGTCTGACGCCAAGGCCTGAGACGCCTGGGGCAGAGGCACGGAGTCAGCCCTCACCGCCCGGCCAGCACAGCATTACGTGGGGACCAGGGCCCTCGCCCCCAAGGCCCAGAGCGGGGAGTCCAGGGGGCTCGCCCACAGCTGAGGAAGTTCTCTCTTCAAGCAGGTGGTAGGGGAGCCTGCTGTCTGTCCTGAGGGAGACATCACTTTGTCCCGTAGAGCTGCTCCCTGCAAACACGAACCTGAGGAGTGGCCTGATGTGGAGGGGCCAGGACCCTGCCTCCCGGTGCCAGCAGGAGCCGCAGGGAGGCCCAGGGCCACGGCAATGGAGAGCTGCATTCGCCTCCAGCAGTAAACATCCGTAACAAAGCCTTCACACATTCGTGTACTTCATTATATCATTATTTTTTTAACATATTTTATTGATTTTTCACAGAGAGGAAGAGAGAGGGATAGAGAGTTAGAAACATCGATGAGAGAGAAACATCAGTCAGCTGCCTCTTGCACACCCCCTACCGGGGATGTGCCCATAACCAAGGTACATGCCCTTGACCGGAATCGAACCCGGGATCTTTCAGTCCGCAGACCGTCGCTCTGCCACTGAGCCAAACCAGTTTCTGCATACTTCATTATATTAGACTGGAGGCTCGGGGCACAAATCCATGCATGGGGAGTGGGGTCCCTTGGGGTGGCCTGCGGGAATCAGGCCCCAGCTCTTTCCCCCAGCAGCCGCGCCTGGCCCCCCGCCGAGGTCTGGCACCACCCCTTCACCTGCTCCACCATCCCGCCTGCAGGATGATCGCAGTCAGGGCTGGGCTCCCTCAGCACCTGGGAGCCGGTGACGGCCCCTCCCCCCACCGCCATCGCTGGTTACTGTCTGTGGGGCAATTGGTGGGGCAATGAGGCCCCACTCCCACCCACCTTGGCCTGGGACTGCCCGCTCACCTGCTCCACCATCCCACCTCAGTCCTGCTCTCTTCCTCGGGGTCCATGGGGGTTGGCAGCACCTCCACTGCTGCTGTCTGCCAGTGCTGCATCTACGACACCTGAAAGAAGGAAACCATTCCATTGCTGGGCCTTTAGATTGCTGCAACATTTTGCTACTGCAAACAGAAAAGTAGGAATAATTGGCTGCAAAGTAATAGGGTGTTGAAAAAATGTTTTTAATTCTAAAAAGATGAAGATGTTTGGAAGACTGCCCAAAGATTCCCAAATTTTCTTTAAAAAAAAAACAAAAACAAAAAAAAACTAAAGCTAAATCTATCTATTTATTTATTTTTAATCTTCACCCCAGGATACTTTTACTATTAATTTCCAGAGAGAGGGAGACAGGGAGGAGTGGGGGAGAAAGAGACAGAAACATTGATGTGAGAGAGACACATTGATTGATTGTCTCCAGCATGGGCCTCTACAAGGGCGGGGAACCTCCAACCAGGAATCGAACCCCACAACCCTTCGGTCTGAGGGCTGACACTAACCACTGAGAAAAACTGGCCATGATACAAAATTTATTTTTGGCAAAACTGTCATTCAGACAAAATTGCTGCTGACAAAGGTGTGTGTTCCCCAGGCACCAGGTGGGGCCCCAATTCTGGGGAAACCAGAGGTGATGTAGATGCGTCCAGCCTGAAGCTCAAAAAACAAGACCCCGCCAGCACAGCCTGCGGATCTGGTGGGGGGAGGTAGACCTGGCCCGCACAGACTACAGACCTAGGGGGGAGAGGGAGACCTGGCCAGCACAGACTACAAGCCCCGGAGAGGGGTAACCTGGCCAGCACAGACTACGGGCCCTGGGGAGAGGGTTAGATCAGGCCAGCAGACTATGGGCCCCGGGAAAGAGAGAGGTAGACCTGGCAGGCACAGACTACAGGCACCGGTAGGGAGAGAGGAACACCTGGCCAGCACAGACTGTGGGGTCGGGGTGGGAGAGAGGTAGACCTGGCTAGCACAGACTACGGACCTGGGGAGAGAGAGGTAGACGTGGCCAGCACAGACTGCAGGCCCCAGGGAGAGGGGTAGACCTGGCCAGCACAGACTACGGACCTGAGGGGGAGAGGCAGACGTGGCCAGCACAGACTATGGGCTCGAGGGGGGAGAGGTGATGGAATAGGAACCAGGGTGGTGGCCTCAGGACATCACAAAGGGCAATACTTTGGAAATACTTCTAGAAAAGTCTGTTAGTAGCAGTTTTTCAGGTACAAAATCCCTATGCAGGATTCCAGCCATTCCTCACAGCAAGCCTATATATCTATATCTATATCTATATCTATATCTATATCTATATCTATATCTATATCTATATCTATATCAGCACATATATTAACTATATATATAAGCATATATAGGTATATATATATGTGTGTGTGTATATATATATATATATATATATATATTATAGATTCTTTTTAGAGATAGAAGAAGAGAAAGTGAGAGAGATAGGAACATTGATGGAAGAAACATCATTGATTGGCTGTCTCCTGCACACCCCCCAGCGGGGATGGAGCCCACAGCCTGAGCATGTGCCCAGACTGGGAATCAAATGCTGATCTCTTGGTTCCTGAGTTGGCACTCAACCACTGAGCCACATCAGCTGGGTGCAAGCCCGTTTCACAACCCGAAAGAAGGTAAGAGGTTAAATAAACCCCCTTAGGCAGTCAGGCTGGGCCCGGCTCAAGGCCAAGCACCTCACATTCACATAGCGCTATGAGGTACCTATTATTACCCTCATTTCACAGATGAAGGAACTGAGGAACCAGGTAAGAGACTTGTCCAGGTTCAGACACCCAACAAGTGCTAGAGACGAGCTCCTAAACCAGGTAGGTTGAAGGGCCAAGGCGAAGCGTAAGAATCTCCAGGCAGGACCAGCGTCTGACATTGCGTGCTGCAGGTAGAGACAGGCTTGTGTGTGAAGTTTAAATGAGAGAACACTTGCTAAAACAGAGGCTGGATCCAGCCTTAGGGAGAGTCTAGGAAGACCTCAGGGAAGCAGTGTCTAAAAGAGCTAGAGGGATAGCGACCCCTCTCTGATGCCTTCATTCAATACGTCTGTAAATTCTGTTATCTCTCCCTTCAAATGGGCCGGCGCCTCGCCCGGACCTGAGCTTCTGGACACCTCTCTCCTTCAGAGGACCAGGGCGCCGTGGACAGCGGCTGGTGCCCCAGCGGGGCAGGAAAGCACCAGGTGAGCCAGGAACGTCTTGTGCACAGACAGCAAGGGGGCACTCAAAGAACGACGGTGACCTGTGGGAAGGACAGGGAACCAGCTTGGGGAGTTCCCTCCGGCAAAGTGGGGACACTGCCTGCATCCACACGAGTGAGGGTGGTGCTGGCTGAATGAAGGAAGGACCCAGGAGCTCACACGGTTCTGGAAACAGAGCTGCAGAGCGAAGGACGAGGGCCAGCCGAAGGGAGGGAGGCGAGCAGGGGAGA